GAAGGCGGAGCAGACAAGTGTTCTCAGACAGGTTCGTACCCAAGTCATAAAGGAAAAGTCCAATAAATTTTAACATCTAAACATTTAAAATCTCTCTTTGGGGGAAAAAAAAACTCAAAAGGAAAAGACCTAGGAAAACATCTGTAGCCACGTGAGATCCCCAATGTGGGCCTCTGGTAACCCCATCAGCCGGGGCCCCTGACCCCTCCTGGGCACACCACCACCTCCCACTGGAGCCAGGGGCGCCCGACGCACCTCCCTGCACCCCCAGGAGGGGGAAGCGCAGCTCCAGAGTGCCCCACCAGGCTGAAGGCAACCGGGATGCCCAGTAAGATGGAAGGAGAGGACTTCCTGCTCGACACGACTCCGAACCCTCAATGGCAGCTCAGATAGACGGAGGGAGCACAGGAGTGGGCCCCATCCTCACCCTGAGCCCCACGGGTGTCTCCTCATGTTTTGTCGTGTGCTTTTCAACTTCCTATTTTGAAATTATAGACTCACAGGAAAGCAGAAAACAGTAGCGAGTGCGCGTCTAGTGTCTGCAGCTGACCGGATCACTGATAGGTTACTGAGCTCGGAAATTTCCTCGGGCACAACACTCTTCGCTCAACGGTGAGCTGCATCTGAGCTTCACCCGTTTTCCTGCTAAGACCCCTCTGTGCCAGGAGCCCACCCAGAACCCACCGTGCCCTTCAGCGTCATGTCTCCCCAGACTCCTCTGAGCCTCCGCCACCCGTCAAGCCTTCCTGTCCTTCGGGACTTGGACGCTCGAAGAGCTCAGGTCCGGTGTCTCCCTGGGGTCGGCCAGCTCCTCGTGATGCTGCTGTGACTATGCATCTGTGGCAAGAACACCAGACACGCGATGCGCCCGTGTGGTATCTGGGCTACACGATGGGGGCTTGTCTCATCACAGGTGACGTGAGCTTAGGCCACCTGGGGAAGGTGGTGTCTGCTGACCTCCACTCTAAAGTTACTATTTTTCCCTTTTTAATAAATAAATAACTTGGGGAAGAGATAGAGACTAGGCAAATATCCTGTTTCTCCTCAAACTCTCACCCACTGATCTCAGTCCCATCCCTGAGCTATTGTACTGTCTTCTCTATGTCCTCACTCTTTCGACACTGAGTAATTAGAACCCTTCTGTGGGGAAGAGCTGCCCCTTCTCCCCCATTCACTCAGCTCTTTATTCAATTATTTATTTATATCCGTACAGGGTGAGTGCTGACTTTAGTCTATGGAATACAAACTGACACTATCATCATTTATTTCCTCGCTCAGACTGACCCAACCCTGGCTATCTCTGCTCCCTGGAGCTGGCACCCCATGCACCCCCTTCTGGGCGCTTCCTTACTTCTGCACGGCCAGGTGTTCTGGCTGCACCTTCTTCAAGGAGCCCTGCTCTTTGCTGTTGGAGGATGATACCTGTGCACGCTCGCCGTTTCTGGCCCTGTCAGGGGACGGAAACCTAGGACACGCGCGTGTAACCCACACACTCACACGCATCTCTGCGTGTCTCCGTATACACCTCTCCCTATGTACACGTTAGAGACCGTGGGTTTACACCGCTACCTGGCCCACTCCAGACTGACCACCTGCTCAGTCCTGTGTGCACACCAAGTAGGTGCACACTGCTGACCTTACCCCTGCGACACACCCAGTGTCCTCAGCCTCACAGAATCCAGCCAAAATGCTGTCTACCACGACTGGGCAGACACTTTTCTTCCCATCCCTTTTCCTGCGGTGCCATTATTGTTTGTGGACACTGAGGTTTGCTGCTGCCTGTATCCCACGTTAGGGCCCCCACGTTCCGGCTGAGGCTTTGCTTCATTTCCGGGTGTGTAAACTCTGCTGTGGTCCCCGAGTCAGGCTGTCGCGAGCGCTGTGCCGGGAGGAGTATGACGGCCCTCGCCTGCGGCCGAGTCCACCCCCGACCTTCCCGCCCCACCCCACCACCTTCAGAACCAACCCAGCCTCCGGCTCCGGCCGGGCCTCCCCACTCCCTTTGGCACGAGCGTGCCCCCGTGCACGTGTCTCCTCACGGCCCTGCTCCTGGTGGACGGCAGAGTACTGCCCTCGGCAGCGCGCCTCACGCCCTCTCCGCGGGTCTCGGAAGGCACCTCGAAGCGGGTCACAGCGACCGTCGTCCACGCGGCACTTTGTGCCCAGATAAGTAGGCCATTTCCACGTGTGCTTCCATACGGTTGGAGGTGTGCCCGCAAGCGAGATTCCTAGAGGGGCAAACGCCGGGGTGAAGCAACGGGCACACGAGTTCTGCAGGCCGAATGGGGTGTCCAACGCGCCCGGGCCCACATCACTGATCTCCTCAGATGAGAAAAAAACAATCAAATGACAGGAAAGAGCTCATCTGTGGGGCCCTGATACAGAGGCTGTCGGCGTAAGAAACCCTGCAGCCGATGCTCCGACGACCACAACATCTCAGCCCGGAAGAAAGAGGTTCACGCTATTTGAGAAGCTCAAAGCCCAGAGAGAGACCTAAGGAGCAAGCCACCTAAGACCTAGCAAATGGCTGTTACCAGCATTATCAACAACAGTGAAAAGATTTTATCCTAAACCCCATTCGCAGCCCACACCCACACGAGCACACGTGCACACACAGCCGTGTCTGCTGATGCTCAGGGCAGCTTTACGCACAGTAGTCAAAACGTGCAAACACTCCCAACACGCAGCCCCGGCGACGGGAGGAGAGGTGCTGGGTCCGCGCAGGGCAGTGCCACTCAGCAACTACCAGAACGAAGTCCCGATCCAGTCCCCACCAGGGACGAACCCCAAAACCTTGTTAAGTGAGAGAAGCCTGACACAAAAGACTACAGGTTGCATGATTCCATTAAAGTGAAAGGTCTAGAAAAGGCAGATCTATAAGGACAGACCAGCGGCTGCCAAGGCCTGCGGGTGGAATGGGATTAATACAAGCACAGGAACGTCCCGGGGTGACAGAAGCTTCTAAACGGGGCTGTGCGGGCGCCTGGGGGCGCGGTCGGCTAAGCGTCTGACTCCTGGTCTCCACTTGGGCGCATGAGTTCCAGCCCCACGTCAGGCTCTGTTGACAGCGTGAAGCCTGCCTGAGCTTCTGTCTCCCCCTCTCTCTCTGCCCCTCCCCTGCTTGTGTGCTCTCTCTCACTCTGTCTCTCAAATAAAGAAAACTTTGAAAAAAACTGTAAACGGGACTGTGGTAAAGGCTGCATGACTCAGACACTGTGAAAATCCCTGAACTGTCTTGCTTACAGGGGGTGCATCTCACAGCAGCCACTGACACAGAAGAAAAGAAAACCTCCGTACACAGCCCCCCCCCCAACCTGGCATGTCCCGATCCGTCTCCCCAGAGCACTCAGAGCCTGCATCCCCAGACAACTGGGCCAGACAGGCAATCTGCACTGCTTCTCCCGACCACCAGGGGGCCTGGGAGCCGGGGGATCTCCCGCGGCCTCTCCCCTCCCTTCCTGCACGCACAGGGGGGCCCTGTCCCCTGAACCCCAGCCACCTCACACACGGCTGTCCCGGCTCAGAAGTCCGGTAACTGAAAGGAAGAAAACCCCCTTTCCTAGGGCAAGAGCTTTCAGTGAGAAACACCTAAGTTCATCAGACACCCCTCCCCCTGCCCACCCTCCCTCCCTCCCCACAGGGAGTGTAAGGGGGGCTGGGGCACACTGCAGCTCCCTCTCTGCTCCCTCTAGAACATTCTGCCGGTTCGTACAACACCTGTTCGTTCTACGGAAATATCAATTCCCTCACTGTTTCGTCAGAGGAAGAAAGTCAAAGGACAGAAAGCTTAGTAGTAAGGTGACCGACTATGTCACTCATTCACGTGCACGTGGGCGAAAGCCCTCTACGGCGCAACACAAACATTCAGAGAGGGAACACCCTGAGAGTAGGAGTGAAAGATGTGACAGCGTGTGAGCTACGCTCGGGTGACGCCGCACCACGTACTCGGGACACGCGGCCAGCGGTCCGGAGCCAGTGTTCCCTCGCACCACTTCCAAAACCAGCCGAAATGTGATGGAAGCGATTTTTCCATAGATCCTCAGTGATGGTCAAGTCCAGCTTGAAGCCTGTGCCCCAAGTGATCACTGCTCTGAATTCCCGTGATTCGTTCGTATGGATTCCACTTCTTCCTGGATTAAGATCTTGCACCCTCAACACCCAAACCAGCTTCCAGGCGAAGCAAACGGTTCTTCACTGCGTGTACCTCCCTGAAACCGTTAACCTAAAACATAGTTACACGAGGCTCTTTAAACACTTAGATAACTTTTCAGTGAAAATAAAGTTTTAACACCTTGCCAACCACAAAGAAGAGCCCCCTCTGCGGCAGCCCGCCCAGGAGCACTGTGCTGTGATGGACACATAGCGTAAAACCCAAAGCAGACCGTGGACTCAAGAGCGGCCAATCTGTGGGACTAGTATTTGGGGAAGATTCCTATTCTGGAAAAGAATCAAATTCAAAGCAATCAAGACTAATAAATGTGCAGTGTCAGGTGACTGATGCCCCCACGTGGCCAGGACAGAGTAGATACAACCCCTCAAATCACTGCTCGTGGACTGTGGCCTGAGCACGCAGGTGGTCTTCAGATCGACCCCAGGTAGAGACTGCATGAAGATTCTGGGAAATCTCACTGCTGCCCATGATTCTTCAGGTAATGAGCGCTTCACACAGGATCCTACGGCTCCCCCCAGGCTCCCCCCACTCTACCTGGGGACACCCCCTGAGTGAGCCCCGCTTCCCAAGGCAGAAGCCCTGTCCTCACGCAGCCCCGGCACACGTAAGAGGCAGGCTGCACCAACAGACACAAAGACTTGCCTCAAAAGAGAGAACCCTGAAAAAGCAGGTGCCGGATAGAATCAATTCCCAAGAAGAGAAGAAAACAGGATGAAGGAGACCCAGGCGTTGGGTCAGGAGGTGAGCGTGGGCAGAGGAGGCCTGTGGCCCCACGGGGAACCAGCTCCTGCAATTGCCTCTCACCCTCGCGCAGATGATGAAAAGCTACCTGTGTCCTTGAGTAAATCCTTCTCAGGAAAACCAAGTGCGCGGACGCCTGGAGAGTCAGAGGATTTGTACGAACGGTCACGAGCCAGAACAAGGAAAGAAGTCGGATCTGCATGTACCGTTGCAGAGAGAGGCACACGATACAACGCAACTTCCAAACTTACCCCCCGCCTCACCAACGGATACGTTAACAACCTCAGTCTCTAACTCTATCATGTTACAGGAGGGGCTGATTAAAAACTACCTGCCACGGAATTCTCCATGGTCAGCCACGATAAGCTTTAGACTTCCACACCTGAGAAGCAACCCTCGCTCAATTTAATTCCAGACAACCGACAGAGTCCAGTCCCCAAGACTACGAAAATGGAAAAAGGGACCAGCCAGAGCCCCCTGCAGCCTGGACCCACTCCCCGCACCCCCCCCCCCCCCGCCGAGATGCCGCCTCCTGACCCGCCCCCTCCCTTCCTGCACCTCACCTCTTTCCGCAGAGCTGCCTGGTCCAGAGGGAGGTGACAGGTCGCCGTGTGGCAGGTGCCAGCCTCCGGAGGATCTCAGCGGCCAAGAAGGGACAGGGCACTGCCTGCTTTCAACACAGGACCGTGCACACGCTCCAGGATAAATCCAGCCAGCAGCTCAATGAATGGCCCCTGAAACGCTGGGAACGTATTGTCTTACTCTTGCATACAAGAGTCTCCTAGAAATGGGACAACCCTTGGAAATCTCTAACTCGACCGCCCTCGTTCTCCACCGGGGAGCCTGCAGCGGGGTGTGGAGCAGACGGCCCGCCGAGTTCAGAGGCAGAGCCGGGGTGAGATCCCAGCTTCCTACGTCCCAGGGCTCTCGCTGGCTTCCTCCTCCAGGAAGCACCTCACAAGCCGTCTCCTCTCCAGGTTTTCAAGCCGTGAAGCCTCCACCGCCGAATCAGGTATTTTCCATCTGACTTGGCTGCTTTTCTGAAACCTCCCAGAATTACTCACATTCGTGTTTCTGTCACAACGCAGCTGTATCTGTTCCTTCTCCGACTGTTATCACTAAGAGAACGCTTTTCAGTTGTAGGGCTGCCCTGACGGGGTCAAATGGCGGCGGCGGCGGGACACAGAGGCTCTGGTAGGGTGAGGGCTCCCTGTTTGCGACAGACTAACTTACTCTATTGCACTTCCTGGTTTTAGAACAATTTTGAATGTTTTGGAAATGTTTCTACTCTACGAAGAAAAGCACAAAAATTTAGAGATAACACAGACATACGGGGCATAAACAGATGACTGATTCACCAAGTACAACAGGAGCTTGGGGGGGCAGAGCGGGGAGGCCGGCAGACGGCTTCACTCGGCTCCGCCACTTCCTACCTGCACAGAAAGTCAGGACACGTTTGTCATTTGTTCCCCAGACACTGACGACTGCCGCCTGTCTGCCACGTGCTGTCGTGAGCAGAGCAAGACCCCAGCGCAGCACCCGCGCCCCCTGAGAGCGGCCCCTGGGCACAGCCACCCAAGCAGGCACAGCCCTGTGACGCCACCTGCCGCGGCCCTTGTGCCGTCAGTCACGCCACAGGCCGCCTGGGCGCCTGGTCTGGCCTCGCGGCTGGGACGCTGGCCCAAGGAGCCAGAGGCCTTCCCCTCCAGAGAGCGTCCGTCCACGATGACTCATGCAGAGAGCCTGTCACTGCGGGCAAGGGTGCCCGGGGGTGAGACCAGTTTCCCCTGGCACGGAGACAGGCACACAAGGGGCGGGGGTGGGGGGCTTCTTTACACTGCACCCCACTGGCTGAACTATAGAGAACACCGATATTCCAAAAGTCCCCAACTAAAACAATCAGATAACCAGAAACAACACAAACCAACAAGCAAGGAAGACATTTTAACAAGTAACTTTTTTTTAATGTTTATTTACTTTTTTTTTTAAATGTTTTATTTATTTCTAGGAGAGAGAGAGAGACAGCATGAGCAGGGGAAGGTCAGAGAGAGAGGGAGTCACAGACTGAAACAGGCCCCAGGCTCTGGGCTGGCAGTCAGCACAGAGCCCGACGCGGGGCTCGAACCCACGAACCGTGAGATCATGACCTAAGCGAAAGTCGGACGCTTAACCGACTAAGCCACCCAGGCGCCCCAAATGTTTATTTACTTTTGAGAGAGAGAGAGAGAGCATGAGTGGGGAGGGGCAGAGAGCGAGGGAGACAGAGTCTGAAGCAGGTTCCAGGCTCCGAACTGTCAGCGCAGAGCCTGACGCAGGGCTTAAACTCACGAACCACGAGACCATGACCTGAGCCGAAGTGGGACGCTTAACCGACTGAGCCTCCCAGGCACCCGTTGAACAGGAAACATTAAGCGAATGCAGCCGTGCTGATGGCGCTTGGGCAGAACTGGGCCCTGGCCTCGCCTGCCCGCCCAGGAGGGGGCGCTGTGAGGGCGCAGCACCAGCTAGCGGCCGCAGGCCGAGTAAGGCGCAAGGCAGCAGGCAAGTCCTGCTAGTGCTCTGCCGTGGCACCAAATTTGGTGAACAAAGGTACCAACTTCTAGTTAACTTAATGACACTTTTAGAAAGAAGTGAATTGTAGGGACGCCTGGGGGACTCAGTCAGTTAAGTGTTCGACTACAGCTCAGGTCATGATCTCACGGTTCATCGGTTCGAGCCCCGCGTCGGGCTCTGTCCTGACAGCTCAGAGCCTGGAGCTGTTTCGGAGTCTGTGTCTCCCTCCCTCTCTGCCTCTCTTTCTCTCTCTTTCTCTCTCACTCACTCAAAAAATAAGAATTAAAAAAATTTAGAGGTAAGTGAATTGTTTTAATAAAGAAAAATGCCATTTCCACATAGATCTTTCTGTGAGGATGCCCCAAGGCATGGTTAAACACCGTGAGCTAATAGGCAACTGGATCCTAAGTCCAAGGGCACGATTCCCCAGTTTCTTGGCCTGAGCACAAATCTATCTTTTATTTCCTACCTTCCTTTCCGAGGGCAGCGTGTCTCTTAGAAGTATCTCTGAGGTGAGTCGGTTCCCACGTGCAGAGGTCCTGCGTCCCCACAGCCCGTCTCACCTTCTCAAGGACTTGCCTCCTGCAATCACCCTTTTTCCGACATATTATAAATCTGTCCTTCTCTACTGGATGGCCCGTTAGCCCATAAACAACAAAATTATGTAACTCCCTCAAGCCCATGCTTCCCTCCAGCTTCCGCCACAACTCCGACCCTTTTTAACAAAGCTCCTCCGGAGAGTCCTCCACCTGTGACGTCCTCCGGGACCCCTCACAGTCTCCCGGACCACACACGGCTCTGCCACGGCCCTGGGCTCCAGGCCGGGAGACCCTCGGGGTTTCCTCCTTCAACAGACCCCTTTACACTGGGTACTGCTAGACCCTCCTCTTCCCCCTCTTCCCCCTCCCTCTCCCCTCCCTCCCCCCTTCCCTCCTCCCCTGCCCCCACCTCCCCCTCCTCCTCCCTCCTCCCCTTCCCCCTCCCTCTCCTCTTCCCTCCTCCCTCTCCCTCCCCCTCCTTCTTCCTCCTTTCCCTCCGCCTCCTCCCCCTCCTCCCTATCCCTCTCCCCCTCCTCCCTCACCTCCCCCTCCTCCTGTGCATCCCTTACCAGAAGCCCTCAGGCTCCATCCCTACCCTTCTGCTCATCTGTAGCTGTAGCCACTGCAAAGCCCATGGTTTCAAATACCAGCAACAGGCAAATGACTCCCAAATTCACATATTTGACCCCAATCTTGAGCCCAACTTTGAATTTCCACTAGTATGCAAACATCTCCACTTGGATGACTGGTTATAAAAACAAGTGAGGTACTGTTTTAGGCACTTTACATTAGCTCAGTTTACAGGCCCAACAACAGAGGATCAAGGTTGCCACTGCTCTTCCTAGTTCGTGGATCAGAGCACCGAGGCGGAGAGAGATGAAACAGCTTGCTCGAGATCACACATCTGAAATGTGACGGAACAGAGACCCGCCCGCACGCTCACGGGCCAGTGTGTGGGCGTCACTGCTGAGGAACTGTCTCCTGCAGAGTGTGAGGCCTCGCAGGACCAGTCCCCAGCTCCTGATCTCTGCCCCAGACTCCATCTCCTCGCCAGCGCCAGCCAGCCGCTCAGGCCAACAACGCAGGGATCATTCCAGGATGTTCCCTCTCAGGGCGCGTCTACTGGCAATCCTAGGGGCCGCCTACAGAACACGGCCCAGCGCCCCGGCTCGCAGACGTGCATGGGGCCCACCCGAGCAACTCTGAGACCCGAGGCGCCTAGTGGTGGTGTCCCACAGCGCTAGGACTCTTGTGGGGACGCTTTCCGGGCACACTCAAACTTGGGTTACTCTGGGAGCATGACAGCAGACAGGACAACACAGCCCACCAACAGGCCAGTCAACAGATCATGTAAGGAGCCGAAACCTCTCCTTAATACCTGCCAGTAAGATCAAGAAAGCATCTAAACTCACAGACTGGGTCTCAGACCCTTGGAAGACACCCCAGAGGGGTGCCTGGGGGCTCAGTCGGTTGAGTGTCCGACTTCAGCTCAGGTCATGATCTCACCGTCCATAGGTTAGAGCCTCGCGTCAGGCCCTGTGCTGATAGCTCAGAGCCTGGAGCTTGCTTCAGGCCCTCCCTCTTTCTCTCTGACCCCCACCCCCACAATCTCTGTGTGTGTGTATGTGTGTGTATCTCTCTCTCTAAAAATAAACATTAAAAAAAAGGAAGACCCCGCAGAGACAGCAGCGGTGAGGTCTCAGGGAATGCCAGCACAGAGAACAACGTGGAGGGCAGCGTGGCATCACGCCAATGCTCAAAGGATGGCTGGGAAGAATGAGACTCTAAACGGAAAGAAATTTTAGAATTACTTATTTTATTTCACTTCTATATTCCTTGTTTATGAAAGCACAACAGTTGGATTTTAAAAGTCTCTGCTTCAAGTCCAAGAGCACTCTCACCACCTAAGTGAGGCCTCGGTGGTACACAGGACACTTGCCGGCTAGGAGTGCAAGCCTGGAACACAACCTGCCAGAGCCGAGCTCAGTGCGTGCGCCCGGCCCACCGGGGCCCCCCCACGCCCCTGCTGGCGCTCCCTGCCTGCGGGAGGGGGCGCGGGGAGGCCCCTGCAGTCACAGGGCTCAGCCCACGCCTGC